GGTCCTTACCAGCGAGCAGTCACATTCCAGGAGTCGGCAACCGAGCCAGAGACGCCCCATTCGTGCCAACACTCCCTGGCGGAGCCCCGCAAGAGCGGCCGATGGCGGCAGTGGCTCGACGACCGCGGCACCATGATGGTCGTGATTCTCACGTTCATTCACCCCACCGTCACCAAGAGTATGCTGGCCCTCCTGCGCTGCCGATGGTATCCCTATGTGCCCGATGTGATCCCTATCGCGACCGGCGAGGGTGTCAGTCGGCTGCCTTTTGACCCGAGGGACCACCCAAGGCCCCGGATGGACCTCGATCCACACGTCATCTGCCGGTCGGCCGAACATGCGCCGTTCCTCTGGACCGCTGTGGCTGGTCTGCTGCTGTGGACCTTCGCCCCTGTCATATGTGGCGTGGCTTTTCTGTGGCGGCATCGAGACAGTCTACAGGACCACCACACGCGCAGGCGAGTGGGCTTCCTTTACACGGGATACCGGAAGCACTTTTACTACTGGGACGCAGTGCTGGCGATGAGGCGGGTCTTGGTGCTGCTTATCGCACAGCAAGCGACTTCGGAGAACAGACAGCTGCTCGGCTGGACAGTCATCGCCGCAGCGTGTCTGGCGCTGCAGTTCGCCGTGTGGCCGTTCGACAGAGGCAGCATGGACATTCTCAATTTGACAGAGCTGAGAGGGCTGCTGGTGTGGCTCATGTCGCTGTTTATCATGCAATTCGTTGTCATACTGCCCGAGGGGACCTCCCTGGCCATCGCCCTGGTGCTGGTGGTCATTGCGGTCAACCTGGTCCACTACATCATGTTGGCCATTCAGATATGCCGATTTGGCCTGCTGCAAGTGGGCTACAGATACACGGCCCTCACGGACCGCAAACAGGCCATCGGTGGGCAAAGGAAGAGCACAGAGTCTCTCTCTCCTTTGTGTATCGTGTCATCTTTTTGTGTTACTGTTCAGCTCGTTTGATGACCGGTTGTCTGACGGGCCCGATTGTGTCGTGGCTGATCCACAGAGAGGAGCAAAGACGAGAGGTCGCCCCCAAAGTCTTCTATGACTGGTCCAGCGCGGCCCTCTCTGTGGACGGCCCCCCTGCTGCTGCCTCTGCTGCGTCGGGCAAGTGCCACCCCTCCTTCGGCCGGCCGGTGCACCGTGTGGTGTCGGCCATGCAGCTGACGTCAGCCGCCATGCAGGACGTCATCGAGACCCTCAAACTCACACACGTCCCCAGCGACTTGTAAGCTCACGACTCACCATTCTCCACAGTACACCTCACCGGTACGTCTCTTTTGTCTTCCATTGGTCAGCCATGAGTTTCTGTGGAGCCACGCCTTCCTGGTGCAGAGTTTGCGGCAGAAGACAGTGGAGATGCGCAGCCGACGACGAGGGCAGGTGGTCGTCCACCTGCCGAGACCCGACGGAACCAGCGCCACAGTGAGGCATTCCTGTGGCGGTGTGATGGGTAGACACGTACTACGTGTGTGTTGGCAGGGTTTGCGGCACATGGGGACGAGCGACCTCTCCCACGCATTCGCAAACCAACGCTCCTTAAGACATGCAGGTCACCTTGCTGCTTGACACACGACTACACACCACACCGATTCGCCGTGTGCTGATGGTGATGCTTGCAGTGTCGAGTCCACTGAAGGACAGCAAGGCGTCTCGTGACGGTAGTGCTGCTGAGTGGACGGCGGACAGTGACGTACAGCCGACAGACAGGTAAATGGCCATGTGTGGAGCGGCCAATCTGACCCTTCGGTGCTGTCTCTCTCTCTCTCTCTCTCTGTGGTTCGTTCTCTGTCAGTTGTCAGTATTCTGTGGTGTCGCCGGGCATAGCTCTGCATGACCTCCAGGCCAACCTCGCCTATGTGGTGAACGAGCTCGTCACGAGAGAACAGCTGCACCAGGCGGCACTGCAAAAGGCTGACGGCACTGACCTGGAGAAGGCCGACACTGAGGTGTTGCAGCGGCATCACACTGGCGGCTGGAAGGCCCTCTACGAGGCATTCAAGAAGGCCAAACGGACACTCATCAAAGCGGGCAGCCCGCCGGTCAGCGGACGAGAGCTACCGATGTCCATCTCTGTCTGTCGATGACGATTGCGTTGAATGCAGGGGGCCATCCCGGAGGTCCTCGCGAGCCTCGTGCCGATGGCACTGGAGACGCCAGCCGCCACGGAGGACGTCCCGATGAGCGGCATGTCGTCACCCGCCAGCTCAACCCGGTCGCAGCAGAGCGATTGCCAGGAGGCCCTCACGCCCCCCTCTCACCTCGTGTGGGTCGATTGGCATCGGCTCAGCAGCGATGACCAGGACAGCGCAGCCCTGTCGATGTCAGCCGAGGCCGTCTGCGATGCCGTGGCGGCGATGGATGGCACCGCAGCCAACGAGAATGACGACGACAAGTAGCTCTGTCAAGGCAGCGGCGGCTCATGTGAGCGCATGTCAGCCGAGGCGATGGGACTGGCATACGGGGACGAGACGATCAAATTTATCGTTGTATATGTGTTTATGCTGTGGAATGAGGGGCGTGTGTGTGTATGCTTGTTTGTTGCGTTGTATTTTCTGACTGTTTTTATCGAAACTCAAGACGTATACACGTGTAATCGACACGTGTCTGCAGGTGAGAGAGGAGTGCGTGGGACGAGTGCATGTAGGCACGCACCCTTTTCTTTGACTCTGCTCTTACATGGCCGGCTGGGCCATACCGTGGGTGCGGTACGTCTTTTGGTTTTATCTCGGTGTTAGGCCCATTTTGACAATGCTGCGTGCGTGAGCCATTTTGCTGGTGTGTTTTGTATAGCCATAGGAAGACTTGCATTAAGTAAATCTGCACAAGCGATTGGTCTGTTCGCATTCATATGGGAAACCCGCGTAGACAGTCATCACCCCCATCTGCACTGTTCGCTTCCCGCCCATCCTTGCTAAATGCATGTGTCCGACGCACACGCATGCCAGCCGTCACTCAGCCGGCGAACAGACACTGCCGCACACACGCAGCAGACTCGCTAGGGACTCTACCAGGTAAATCGTGATGCAAAGAGCACCAGACCGTTCTGATAAAATGCCTGCGGGGCTTAAACACCCCTGCACACACACACACACACACACACTCAGAGAGAGAGAGAGAGAGAGAAATGGGACAATGTATTAGCATTACAAAGACACACGTGCACAGATTGGTTGGCGAAACCCTTCCTACACATGACGGTACTGGCTTGATTGGTCATGCATTGAGTGGCCAAGACAGAAAGAACGACAGACAGACAGACAGACACAGACAGACAGATACAGACAGACATGAAACGTACGTGGACAGGCACAACGACGCCACGCATGCATGCATACCCCTCCCTGCACGCACTCTTGTCCTGCCATCTGGGATTGGCCTTCCCTCCAGGATTTCGGAGGCAGCCATGGCATTACAGTAGTCAAGAAGGAAGGAACGACCGGCGATGCCGTCACTCATCGCCACCGCCGCCACCTCCGTCACTTCCAGAATCCCCACTGTTCCCACCATCGGAGCCGCTGTCACTTCCACCGCCACCGACACCACCTGCTCCGTTATCTCTGTCATTACCGAGACCACCCCCTCTGTCATTGTTGTCTTCCAAGCCGGTACCACGTCCATTGTTGCCTCCGTCGCCAATACCGTTCACGCCGCCACCACCCCGCCCGTCATCGTTCCCGTTGTCAATACCAGGAAAATCGTCCCTGAGACCACAGAAGTCAGACCAACATTCACACGATGCGTGGGTCGTCAGCAGGAGGTGTATGCTTACACAACAGGGCGGTCCAACTGTGGAGGTGGGGGATCGTGCCTGACCAAGGGAGGTCAGATCAACATTCTCACTATGGCTGGGTCATGAGCACGAAGTGATCGCCTACGGATCGGGCTCAGATCGTGGCGCCAAGCTTTCGTCGCCCCCTTGGCCTATCCCTTGCTCGGGTGTCTGCGGGATGACGCTGTCTCCTGCTCCCGACCCTCCTGTGTTCCCGCCTGTCGTCCCAGGACTGCCGGAACTGCTGCTTGCGCTGCCGGCGGTGCTGCTGCTAACCCCTGAAAGAAACACACGACCGCTTCGGCGACGCATGCTATCGTTCTCTTGTCATTTTGCTCACCCGAGTCCCATCGACTGTAACCCAAGCCCGTCGAGTAGGCTGGAGTCGAGGCTGAGCTTGAACTGTCGGTGCCGTTGAATATGCCAGTCAACCGATCCATTTCCTCGTCCGTCAGCACGGACTGCAGCTTTCGCCGCTGATCCCCGTCTCCTTGATTCATCACGGCACCTCGGCCGCCATCGGTCAATCGCTCCTCCTGCACTGCGCGGAGACGACGGCGCTGGTCCAAGCAGACAGAACAGAGCAGACGCAGAGGTGCGTGAGTGACTGTCTTGGCGCCTGCCTTGAGTGCGACTTACCTGTTCGACGTGGCAGGGAGTGGCGGAGAGCACCGTGGCAGTTGTGCAGCACGCTGTCAAAAGGACCGCAGCGAGCCGCGCTGATGCCATCAGCTTGATTTGGGGTTTCTCCGACACACGCAAAGATCTGGTCGCGTGCTTTGCGCTTAATCGTGCCGGGGGGAAGACAGGTAAGACAGGTACTCTCCTCTCCTCTCTCATCACACCGTCCCTTATGCGAGCAGTTTCACAGAATACCTTGTTACCCTAAAGCCATGGATGTGGTAGGGTCTTCCATGGAACGGGAGAGGAGAGGAAGCCGGTGCCGAGCGAGAGAAGAGAGATATTGTGTAGAGATATTGTGCTCTCCCTGTCTCCTCCCCCAAAGCACAGAGCACAGCACACATTCTCAACCAGATCTTTGAGTGTGACACGCTCAAGCCATGATGACATCAGCGGTCTTTCTGTGCAGCCTGGCGGCTACGATGCTCTCCGCCACCCCCTGCCAAGGAACCGGAAGTTCTGACGTCGGTCAGGTCAGTCAGCTGCACTCAAGGCAGACAGTCACTCACGCATCGTCTTCGTGATTCTGTGTTCTGTCTGTTTTGCATCAGCGTCGCCGTCTTCGCGCAGTGCAGGAGGACCGAAATGAGGCGATGGATCAGCGGAGAGAACTGCAGTCCGTGCTGTCGGCAGAGGAAATCGAGGCCCTCACCAACATGTTCGAGGCAACGCGGATTCCAACAACGCCCCTGACTCAATCTCCCCTCCAGCGCAATCTCAGAGCTACTCCGGGCTCAATAGATGGAGCTCTCTTGGCAGTGACAGCAGCAGCTCCGGCAGCGGGGCGCTGCGACGACCAGACTCGTAAGCATGCATGCAGGAACTCCTGATTCGCTGCAATGTGTGATGCATGCAGGGCCGATAGTTCTCTCAATCCCAACGGACCTGGGGAAGATACTGGGGACGAGGCTGATAACTCCTTCGACGACGACGGACCTGGGGAGGATACTGGGGATGATGGCAACGACCGGCGCAACGATCGGGACAACGACCGGGACGACCGGCGCGACAACCGGCGCGACAACCGGCGCGACGAGGCTGATGACTCCTTCGACAGCGACGGACCTGGGGAAGATACTGGTGATCAATGAAGCCCATCGGCGTTCCTCTTGTTCAGTGCGATGCCACACATGAATGGCTGCCTCCGAAACCTGGAGGGAAGGCCAATCCCAGATGGCACGAGAGAGTGCGTGGGGGAGGGATGTGCATCAATGGATGTCCACCTACGGCTCAACCTGTCTGTCTGTGTGTGGCTGTCTGTCTGTCTTGGCTGCTCTGTGGACGACTTGCTTGGTTAGTCAGCTAGTTAGTTGGTCAATTAGTTAGTCAGTTAGTACAGTCATGTCTGTAGGTACGGATTTGCCAAAGAGAGTCGCTTGCTGATGCGCGTTTGTTTGTGAAGTGGCTTGATGTGGTGAGCGAGTAATGCTATGCTGCTGCCAATGCTCTCTCTCTCGCTCTTTCTATGTGGTGGGGAGCGGGGGGAGGGACATCGTGTGTGCACGTGGATGCCGGAATGTGGGCCACTTTTATCCGTGTGCACATATCCTTTTCTGCTGCTGCTGCTGCTCTCTGATTGCGATGTGTGTGGTGGCGTGTGGTACAGCCACAATCAGGTGGCTTATACATACATGTTTGTTGGCTGCATGTGGGCGGTGCGGTTGTGATTTTTTCCAGCTGCAGTGAGGGCTGGCATGCGTGTGCATCTGACGTACGGGTTGGGGATCGGATGTGGCTCGATTGTATGACTGAATGTCCTCATTCAGAAGCGTCAGTGATGTGATCCCTTCCCACACTCTCTGAACGAGACTGAGCATGTCAGGCGACTGCGTTCGTTTTGGTGACAACAGCATGAATTTCCTACATGTATGGAATCAGACCTATCATGCATGTACACGTAAGATGTGGACCTATGCTCTGTCTGCCACTCGCGCATTATCGATCAAAATGGGCCACAAAAGGACGCTGAGATGCATAAAAACCAACATAAAACCACCAACTACCAACGGCCATGTAAAGAGCAGAGCCAAAGAAAGGGTGCGTGCCCACATGCACTCGTCCCACGCACTCCTCTCTCACCTGCAGACACGTGTCGATTACACGTGTATACGTCTTGAGTTTCGATGAAAACCATCAGAAAACACAACGCAACAAACAAGCATACACACGAGCCCTCATTCCACAGCATATGTATAACGATAAATTTAATCGTCCCGTCTGCGCACAACTGTCCCATCGCCTCGGCTGACATTCCCTCACATGGGTCGCCGCTGCCTTGACAGACCTACTTGTCGTCGTCATTCTTGCTGGCCGCGGTGCCGTCCATCGCCGCCACGGCATCGTAGACGGCCTCCACTGACATCGACAGGGCTGCGCTGTCCTTGTCTTGGCTGCTGAGCCGATGCCAATCGACCCACACGAGGTGAGAGGGGGGCGTGAGGGCCTCCTGGCAATCGCTCTGCTTTGACCGGGTTGAGCTGGCGGGTGACGATATGCCGCTCATCGGGACGTCCTCTGTGGCGGCTGGCGTATCCACTACCATCGGCACGAGGCTCGCGAGGACCTCCGGGATGGCCCCCTGCATTCAACGCAACAGAGGTGGGTTTATGCTCATCGACAGACAGAGGGACATCGACTGCTCTCGTCCGCTGACCGGCGGGCTGCCGGCTTTGATGAGTGTCCGTTTGGCCTTCTTGAATGCCTCGTAGAGGGCCTTCCAGCCGCCAGTGTGATGCCGCTGCGACACCTCAGTGTCGGCCTTCTCCAGGTCAGTGTCTCCGGCCTTTTGCAGTGCCGCCTGGTGCAGCTGTTCTCTCGTGACGAGCTCGTCCACCACATAGGCGAGGTTGGCCTGGAGGTCATGCAGAGCTATGCCCGGCGACACCACAGAATACTGACAACTGACAGAGAGAGAGAGAGAGCACCGAAGGGTCATATTGGCCGCTCCACAACGGCCTTGTACCTGTCTGTCGGCTGTACGTCACTGTCCGCCGTCCACTCAGCAACACTACCGTCACAAGACGCCTTGCTGTCCTTCAGTCGACTCGACACTGCAATCATCACCATCACACGACAGAACACGGCGAATCGGTGTTTACGATGCAGTACCTGGTGTCGTCGTTTGCCAGCTCCTCCGGCCCCGACCTCGCCAAGGTAGCCATGGCATACCGATCGCTCGTCGAAATCGAAGGTTCGCATAAATACACACAGGTACGACAGAGCTGAAAGTGTGTATGTGTGCAGAGTCCCGTTCGTCTCGTAACCAGACGTTGCCCATCTACAACGAGCTGCACGACCGCATCAGCGCCACAGGCGCTAAGGGATGGCCCAACGACGAGGTCCATGGGACTAACGAACAGCTTCGCATGTCTGTCTGTCTGTTCGTCTGTCTGTCTGTCTGTCCATCTGTGTATCTGCGTGTGCAGCTGGAGTGGTTTGCTGCGACTGCGTGGAACAACGGCGTGTACTACTTCCGCCTGCAAAACCTCAGCTTCGCCGAGAAGTGGCTGTCCCGCAGCCGCGCACTGCTCACATTCTGCCCCACACTCAGCAACAACTACAAAGGTGCGTACACTCATTCATCGCTGTATTGAATGCGTGTGGGACTGCGTGTGTGTGTGGATGCATTGCATTGACTATACGTCAGACAAGTGCGAGAACCTCTACAACACGTGTCTGCAGAAGCTGCTCGGCACTTGAAGCACGGAAGCGACACGTCGGAAAGAGAAAAGGACACGAACACACAGACACACATATTATTTGAGACAAGATGTGCCGGCAGACGTCGACGGACGGAAGGGAGGCATCCATGCAATACATGTCATTGATGTGGGTTGCGTATGGCTCGATGTGTCTATGTTCCGTGACACTTCTGTGAACGATCCACGTTCTCATCGATCCGATCTCGGAATTCGCCCCCAACTTGGGGCCCGGAAAGTCGCGATTTTCGAAGACGAAAATGGCTGCTCTTTTCTTCTTGCTGGTCACCTTTCTTGCGGGAGCCTACGCCGACAATGCCGTAGATGACCAAGGAGCTGCCAGGAGAAGCCTCAAAGTGCCGAAGGGTAAGAAGTGCGGAAACCCACTGCATCGCAATTTCCGACAAGACTACTTCCCTGTTTCCGACCAGATTGCTTCACGCCGGGCAAGGACTACATAGGTTTCGATGTGCAAGCGTGGAGGGACACGAGCTCCGTCGACCACTGCCAGTCCAAGTGCCAGGCACTCCCCGAGTGTGCTGTCTTCAACTACCGCGACAACGAGAAGCAGTGCTGGCTCAAGTCAGCTGCGGCACTCGCCACCGCGTCCGTGGACGACTCGGGGGCCCTCACTGGGCCAAAGACATGCTTCCCCGGTACGCAAATCGCCAGAGAGGCCAATGGGTCTTTGAGAGACATTTTCTTCTCGTCTGTGTCTGTTGGTCGGCAGATTGTTATGAGGAGGGCGTGACGTACGACAGCCGCATTGTGCTCAGGGTCCTGGACGTGCTGACGACCGAAGCGTGCCAGCATCTCTGTGCGAAGCGCAGCGACTGCAAGGCCTTCACGTTCGTACCGGAGCAGACACAATGCAAACTACATGCCTCGGAGTTTCCCAAGTCCGAGCAGACTGGAGGAGCCCTGGCGATCTCGGGCCCCGAAAAATGCCCGGGAGTTATGGATGAGGCAGAGAGTGCTGTCGAGGGATCAGAGGGCGCATCCGTTACCAGGCCGATCCTGTGGCTCTGCCGTGCGTGCCTGCACGTGTGTGGGGACTCGTGTCACTGGTGCATGAGCCCCTGTGGGTGGTCAGCTCCTCCTCTGCCCGAAGTGCCCGGGGTCCTCATCCCCCTCTCTGGCTCACCGCAAGGCGGCATCACACAGTTCCAGCTCACCACCACTAAGGAGTCGTTCATCAAACCCGGCGACTCTGAAGCAGGTATGTTTGTATGTGTCTTTCCATACATGCCCAACTGTGCGTGTTCAGGCACTCTTCGCGCGTTGGCTGACAATCGGAAGCTGTACATCGGCTCGGCCATCAACACGGCCCACATGAACAATGGCCAATACACCAGCATCCTCGCTGAGCAGTACAACATGGCCGTCGCCGAGTGGGAGTGCAAACACACGGCGATAGCACCAAACGCCAACACCATCAACTGGAACCTATGCGACAGGTACGCAGCAAGTAGGATGGCCGAGGAGTGGACAATCAATCCATTCGTGTCTCAATAGGATAGCTGATTTCTGCCAGGACAACGGCATGGGGTTCCGCTACCACGCCCTGGCCTGGTACTTCTCGCTCCCGGGATGGTTCAAGGGACTCAACCCCAATGACAAGAGGAACGCCCTCACGTCATTTACTGAGAGGGTGATCGACCACTACGTCGACAGAGTACTCTGGTGGGACGTTGCCAACGAAGGTGAGACAGGGAGGCGGCTTCTTGACGTACGCACATCGAAGAAAGGTCTTCTTGACGTTCTTGCGTGGCGACTCAGCTATGGACGATAACCAGCCTGACGGTGGCCAGACGCCGAGATACCGCAGTGACGGTGCCCTGTACCCCGCCATTCCCGACTGGGTGTCGCACACCTTCCACGTCGCGAGCAGGGCCCTGTCCGCGAAAAACAAGCCATTCAAGCTCTACTATAACGATTACGGCGTCGCGTCGATGGTACGAACTCACGTACACACGCGAGACACACGTGGACAGCGTCTTTGCGTCTGCCCAGGATGGTTGGTCGCGCGGCAAGTCCAATGCCATGTACAACATGGTCAGGGGCCTGCAAAGGGACGGCGTCATCGACGGTGTGGGCTTCCAGCTGCACATCAACACCTACTACGACCTGGTCGACGGCGTGCGCAAGAACATCCAGCGATACGGCGAGCTCGGCTTGGAAGTCCAGTTCACCGAGCTGGACGTGGGCTGCGGCGAGTGGCGCGCCCCCACTGGCGAAATGGTGGGCGGCGACAGGTGGGTCCCATGCGCCGACTGGGGGGATGCACAAGCCAGCCGTCAGGTAGGGAATTTTGGAAATAGAAAGAAAGAGACATGCCCCAAGGATGCGCATTTCATGTCGTCTTTCCGTCTGTCTGTCGTCTGTCCGTCTGTCTGTCATCGATCAGGCTAGTGTGTATTCTGCTTTGATGGCGGTGTGCCTGGATGGTACGCACTCACGACACACCGAGAGACACCTGCGAGCACCATTCCCTCCATGTCTCTGGTCTGTCTGTAATCTAGAGCCCAACTGCACCGCGTACGTCATGTGGGGATTCACCGACAGGCACACGTGGCTCACGAACTCCCGCCCCCTCCTCTACGATGAGAACTACAACAAGAAGCCCGCATGGTGGGCCCTACGCGACATGTTGAGAGACTACGGCGTGTGATCAACCATATTGGGGACGGGGGCATTGGATTGATTTGCATTTATCTGATCAACAAAGTAGTGTACATCTTGCTGGGGCAAGGCAGACGGAGTCGGTTGACGTACTGTCCAGCAATATGCGGCTAACTGACATCTGATTGAAAGGTGCATCGGGGTCTGTCTTCGATCTGCACTAGCTAGTGGGTTCCGTTTGCTGACGGACGTGTGTGTTTGCTCGGGGGTGTGGTTAGATGTTAGTTCATGTGACACACGGACTGGAAAGGAACGCGAACATTGCGATGAAGCGCATTCACACGTACGTCGACGTCATCAGTCCTCACACACCAGACGTACGCACGCAGACATTCTGTGTCTCTCCGCCAGTCACAGATGCGTGTATTTCTTTGTTCGTTTGTTCATTCTTCGTCAAGCTCTGGTGGGATTTCGAAGTGCCTGTTGATTTCCTCCAGCGGCGCGCCCTGCTCACGGGACATCCATCGACGGGCCGTGATGATGTTGTCGGTCCTACCCACACACACACACAGGACGCACAGAGAGATAGGGAGCTCGTGCCTGTCGCTCGACAAATCAGTGCATGTCTGACCATCTCTCTGCCGCATGTTTGGCCATGTCGATTTCCTGTCGCTTCTGCTGGATGGCACGGGGGTCGTTGGAACGGAACGCAGCCAGCGACTTGTCCAACTCCTGCCACACAGCACAACACCATGTCTCTCCTTGTCTTTCTCTCTTGTGCGTGTGAGTGACCTCCGTCTCCTGTTGCAGTGTGAGCATTTTGTCGAGGTTGGCCTTGTATGTCGCGTCACCGGCACTCTTGCGGGCCTCGTCCAGCTTGACCGACATCGACTCGAGCTCATCACGCAGACGAGCCTCCTCCTCACTGACACACAACAACTCGATGACACACACTCATGCACAGAGACACGAAGGTCGCCCGCCTCACCGCAACGAGGTGAGCAGCCTTTCCTGAGCCTTCTTCTGCTCAGATGGCAACGCCCTGCGCGACCAGCCCACACACAGACACACAAACAACGGACACATGCATGCACGCGTTTCGCCTGATGGATGGAGTTGGCTGACCAGTAGATGTTGGATGCGCCAACTTTGTCTGTGAGTATGATGCCGTCTCCCACGAGCTCATTCACCACGTCCTTGACCGACTGAAGCACAATCCCGACACCAGTAGCTGCACACAGACAGAGTGAGACACAATCAACCATAGGCAGCGGCGTGTGATCACTTACCGAGCTTCTCGAGTTCCTTCATGGTGAAGAATGACTTGCTCTTGTGCATGGCGTCGGTGAGTCTGCGCTTCTTCTCGTCGAACGAGAGGCCCTTGCCGCCTTTGCCTCCACCCTTGCGGCATGGTGGGGTGTGACCGACAGCCGGATGGCCAGACGGATGAATCGGTCGAGCGAAGAGAGAAGAGACAAACAGTCAGTCAGTCAATCAGTGGACCCAAGACGTCACACATATGCATGTGTTTAAATTTGTCTATTGGACGTCGATCGCTCGATGTCAGTGTGAGTGCCCCATGTGATGGTCTCTAATTCAGTCAGTCAGATGTCTGTGTCTCTTGGCCTGGCGTCTCCACGAGTACATCCATCCATGGCCACGAATAC